CATTGCTAATATAGTTTAAGTTACATGGGCCAGCACTTCTGATTCTGAAGGCCCTGGGCAGATTAGATTGACATGGCAACAATAGATGCTGAAATCTGATTGGACAAACAATCTAACATCCACATACACGTGCTGGAAGCAGTGCAGACAAGAGAAATACTACGAAATGAAGAGAACAGACTGTTGGGAATAAATTAATACAATTTCATGGAACAAATATTAGAATTTAGGTTGTAAATGTAGGTCAGTGCTTCTAATAGTGTTTAGGCCAGCAGAGAAGGCCTTGCTGGCCCTGACGGCCCGCCACTGATATTAAATATATTGTAATGACCCCTGGCGTGAAGGAGAGAGACTAGCTACACTGGTACAGCTAAACTAGCTAGCAGGGCGCTAGCACCTATGCTGATCTTGGTTAGCGATTATTCCAGGCCCCATACACCGCACGACTCTGGATATCGCCTAGGTGTGTCCTTTTACAATGACCACAAGGCAACACTGCTTTCTCTGTCATTTATTTAGAACCACTGAACAATGGCACTTCCCCCAGGGTCAGTCTCACACACACAAGCCAAACGGACGGTCCAAAACACAGCACAGCAATTAACTTAGTAAAACATCATCAGATAACACACCAGCATAAGTCAGCAACACTAACACATAACAACAATGGGGTAACACATAAGAACACTTTAACTATAATTTTATAACTGCTCTCTCTATTTACTGAACTATGTCCCACTGAAAAACAACAACAAACTCCGTCGGGAGGAATATGTGCATCACTAAAATATGCCCTACTGGAAAAACTATAAACTCCGCAGAGCGGAACATTAACTTTAGCTTCATAACTTCTAAATTCTAAATATATAAAAATTTAGAACATGCACCACAAACTGCAGGCAACTGGAACGTTGTCTGTTAAAACATGTTATGTATTAGATATTTTTGTTTATTTTATGTAATGTCCATTTGGAATAGCATTGTGTAAATACTTTTGTTTGGGAAACAGGTTTGGAAACTCAGATGTCCGAGTTTTCCACGTGTCCTTAAACGCACCGTACATTCACTCTCAAAAATCTGTGTGCGCGGAAGGTGATTCGTGTGTTAGACGATCCACGCATGCGTAGGTAACAATGTGTACGTACTTTCTAAAGAACTGCACAAAAAAAAAATCGATTTTAAGCATTTGTAAAATGTGTTTTATGTGCAGTTTGTACAGCATGCATTTGTGAACAGCATGACACACACACACAAATGGCTTCTTACAGACAAAACGTTAAACACGCATTTGTAACATCTTTGATAGTATTTTATCTCCATATTTACGGGGTATGCGAGTTACAGTAGTTAAAGTACATAGGGTAATGCGACGGAGCGTCTGCCAGAGGTATAAATAAAGAAGGATTCAATCAGCGGGATGCACCCCAGCTGTGTGCACCGACAAACGAGTCGCTAATTACCAAATGTAACACAGCTGAGTAGGGAATTGCGCAGGTCGAGAGAACAGAGGAGAGAAAGGCAGAGGAGAGGCAGGGGGGGCCGACAGTACCTGTGATGTATATCATGATTTTGTCCCGCCTGTTTCTGGTCTCGTGCTTTTATTTTGTCAACTTCCTGTTATAGCCATATCATAGCTACGGACTTTTTACTTTAATCAGCACTCATTGTTTACACCTGTTTTCACCCCGTTAAAAGCAGCCCCCCCGGGACAGCTGCTAGATGCATAAACAAGAAGACAGCTGATACACTGCTGTAACATCTCAGACATACTGTACCTACATGTTTGTGCTTCACAATATTTAAAAATGTTTTTTTAAACATACATTCAATGTAATTATGCATAAAATCAAGTAACTGTTGTACCTGCACATATGGCATCTGGTGTCTGTCTTCAAAACTGACCTGATCCTTACCATTCAGAACTTGGTCTATTTCCTGCTGACAGTGCTCTGAGGACAACAAAGAGAGAGAGAGAGAGAGACAGAGGGAGAGTGAGGGAGACAGAGGTAGATGGAGAGAACAAGTTTTACAGTTAACAGGAAAAAATATACAGCATTTTTCAGTATTGGTTCATATGCTGTATGGCAGTCTGACCTGGCATAAAGCACGTATAATTGAAGTTTTACTATGCTCTCTATTTTAGTTTAGCATGTCCACATGCTAGGATTTGCTAAGTAACACTTAACAAAGTAGAACTGAAATTGATTGGAACTTCATTATTTTTGCAGATATCTGGTCCTGAACCAAAGTAACAAATGAAAATTTTGACGTGGTGGTAGGACTTAACAGAAATTTAAGGGGTCACCAAAGTGATTACAATTCATCATCAGTGGAACATGAGTGGATTCACCAAATTTCATGGCAAATTATCTGATGTTTATCACGACATTTCACTCAAAACCACAAATTTTATCCTCATGGTGGTGCTAAATGAAAGGTTTGGGACAGTGCTTAATTTGAAAATTATGAGGTCCCAGATTCTGACTTGGTGACAGACCTGGCATGTCAATGTGGGGAGAGAAGGTCCTGGAATGAAAACATTTCCTCAATGACCAGTGCATTTGTAGTAGTTTCCACATTAAGGAGCAGCTTAGAGGCAAAACATTATTTGATGTGTGTTTGTAGTGACCAAAAAAATTACATAAGAAGATACACATTTGCAAGTGTGATGCCTAATGTCATGCCTAATTGATGATCAATACATTAGGACTGCGAGGCTATGGCCTCTAATCTGTTCAATGAATAGCAAGCTTGACATCATATTTGTGGTCTTATTACTCCACTACACATTAACATTATATTCAGAGTATTACAGAAACAAATTTAAAGCACACCAGAGACTTTATAATGAAGTAATGTCTTCACCTTCCATTATTTAAAACAGCCCATAACGTAGTCATGTGACAGGAGTCCTCTTTTATGTTACTTTGTGCTTTTTTAAATTATTCTAATTATTCAAATTTAATTGTATTTTTAATATGCTGTTGTAAAAGGCTAGCTGTACCAAAAGTAATAGACCTGGGACTTTTTTTGCACATATTAGTCATATATTCATATTCTTTCACATGTAAATGAGGTGCTGGGTCCATCAGAATAGGTGCTGATCACAATTTGACAGTGGCCGGACCTTGATCTGGCTTATTCCAGCACAGATTAACCCCTAGTCTGGAAATGTCCAAAGTCATTAGGATACAACATCTGGAAAACAGCAATATCTGTACAAAAATGTCTTGTAGTGTTTGTACTGCCTGTGACTAGCCAAACAACAAATATAAAACTGTTTTCCCTCAGTGATTATGGTTAGGATCAGGTTAGGGATCAGGTCTGGAGAAATGCATCTCAAAAGAGGAACAGATCTCAACATGGCACCAATGCATACAGGCCCACTTCAAGCACTGTTTAAAAACCACACATTTTCAAGGTCTGGCAATCTCCAAAGCTATTAAGATACATTAAGATATCATCTAGAAAACATCAATATATGTAGAAAATTTAATGTTGATTCATCTTTTTTGGATATTTTAGTGTGGATCAAGTGACTGATAGACTGACTCTGTTTAGCAGATGAAAGCTAGACATACCCTGTATCTGTGGATAATTCATAAGATAGAGGAAGGCAGTGAGCAAGGAGTTGGCAGTCGTGTCAGTTCCACCAAAGTGAAGCTCCAAAACAAATGCACAAAGCTGGTCTTCAGAAAATGATGAGCCATCATCTCCTCTCTTTGCAGGCAGACAAGTGAGACAGAAAGTGAGATATTGATTATAATTTTTATCAACTGCCTCAACCAAAAATTTCTAATTGGTACACAACATTCAAGTTTCATACCCGCTGCTCTGAATAGAGTTCAAACAGGAAAACACACAAACCTTATCTAGTTCGTCCAGGTAACAGTCTATAAAATGTCTCGGTTCACCAGGAACTCTGGTCTTTTTGTTCTCAGCCAAGAACTCTGAATACATTTCATCTGCCATCTGGCAAGAATAAAAGGTTTTGATGAAATCAACAGTTTTATCAAGTTTTAGAAACATGATGAACCTGAACCCATCCCTCTTATACAAGAGCAAGACACACAAACTGAAAGAGACAGAAATTGACCATAAATCAAGCAGTAACTATTGTTTATTTCATCTTTGTTTTCATCTGTCTGTGGCTATTGTCTCTCCTTATGAGATATTGTGCAGGTGAAAAACCAGGGTCTCCGTGACCCCTTAGGCCCCTGGGCCTGTTCATGGTGGGCCATTCACTAATCCATCTACGCTGATGTGTCCCAGTGAGCTTGACTTTCTAAATTGCCATGTCGTGCCGCCATCTGTGTGTACTCTTCAGTGCAAATCAGTACTATAGAATTTATCAGGCACTTATCTTTAAACTTTATCAACATACCCTGAACTTCTTAAAGGCTTTTTGGAAGGGCAGTGGTAGGCTGCGCACCATGGGAATAGAGTCATAAACCTATATGGGGAGAAAAATAATGTTGATGACAGTTTTAAAAATCTGTTACATTTTCTGAGCATTTCAAGAAGATCGACTGATTTTATGGAGCAATTGCTCCATATAGTGATTTTATTGTCCAGAATGTGACTCACCATAGCCCAGGGCCCACTGAGGATTTTGGAGGTCTCACAAAAGTAGTCAACAAAAAACTTCATGAATTGATCGTCATAGTCAAACTGTCGAGCAAACAGAACTTGGCAGATGATATTGGAGGTTGCTTTGTGAAACAGCAGTTGAGGATTCATGGTCTTACCTGAAAAAAACAAAAACATGAAGAATAGTTCTTTGTCTAAACAGCTATAAATGGTCCAAATGTTACATTATAAAATAAACAGGGGAAAAGGGATATAACAAGAAAAGAAAAGAAAATGGTAACTTCTAGGTTTCTAATTTTCAGGACAAAGTTAGAAAAAAAATTCCAGATAGTGATGTGCTCAATTTTCATGTTTAGCCATATAACAAAAACAGTCCCTGTGTCCTCTTTGGACAGTGGACATACCGACATTTTGGTCCAGATGATTCATGATGTGTTGAATCTCTCCCAGAATCCTCTGTTCCATGGATTTTTTCCCCAGCCCAAAGTTTCTCAGGGTCATCAGACCAAAACGTCGATGCTCCTTCCAGCCAGGGCTATAATCTGCCAAAGCCACTCCTGGAGCATGAGGTCCTTGAAAAAAATCATTAACATCTTCGAATTTATTTTCAAATGCATTTTTAAACAGTGAATAAAGTTTCAATGATGCCCATAAGGCTACTGACTAGGGATGTAACTATAGTTATAATTTTGTGACACTGTGATAGAACAATTTCTCACTGCCATTGTGGGTATGGCATATCTATCCAGATATTAAATATGATTATTTCACTAGTATAACTGTGTCCACAAGAAAGGAAACTGACAGACAATTTGCAAATACTTCCAGTTGAAGGCAATACTAGCCTTGTTTAGGAGTGAGACACTTATGGATACATCTTGCAGAAACAGTCAGGATACGACTGTGTGCTACATTTTAAGGGATATGGGCAAACAAATTTGATGCACAAATGCAGAAACAACCGGATATTAACCACATTTAAAGTCTTGTGATCCTCATTATGCAGCTCATTTTTCTGGCTGTAGTGGAACACAGCACAGTTAAAACGTGTGTATGTCATTCCAGGCTAATTTGAGCATATTCATTATTATAGACTTTAAAGATGTTTGTATTGTATTTTGCTTTCAAGTAATAACTTTGAGGCTTAATACAGCCTTTGGATGAGTTTTACAAGAGTGTATACAAACACTATTGATACCAATAAATTTTCAGCATCATCAGAAAAATATAATTTTAATAACTAGACTGTATTATTACTCCCTGCATTAAGACCAGTCAATCAGTTTAAAAATGATAGTTGGTTCTAATCCTGTTTTCTGTTGGCGCTGCATATTGACATCAGTATAAAACTTGGCCTATGCTCTGAGACTCAGTAAATACAAACACAAATATCGATTTTGACCTAATGTCATTGCTCCTCCTTTTGCAGTGGCATCAACTCACTCTGCATATACAGAAAGTCAAATGGGCCAAAACTTGCTCTGTACCTCTTTGATGCATGGCATGACTGATCATCAGGTTTTGTGATCTGCCAGAGAAGTCAGCACCTTTATTGACCAGGGCTTCTCTCACGGCCTGCAGCCCATTGATGACAACCACGGGACTGGAACCAATGAACAGGCTGTAGACATTACCATAGCGTTTGGCCAGCTGGGGACAAAGACACAACCGATTATACTTACTGGGAACTATGACCAATATTCATTGTAATCATCAGCCACTGAGCTGATCATTAACATGTTATTATTATGAGCAGTTAACTTTCAAATCTTCCAATTTGATTTTTTTTTCAGATTAAACTACCTCAGGTAAAAGCACTATATTCCTTTTATTTTCAGTGTGATAAATAACTGAATGTATGACACAATGAATCGCCCTGATTGACGTGTTCAGTCCATGACAAAGTCTGAACAACAGCAGTACATTTTTGTATGAAACATATTATTGAGCTAAAACCATTATTTCTCCAGTCCCTAGTTAAAGGATAATCACGTTTATTGGCCAAGTATGTTACACACAAGGAATTTGTTTGCAGTACGGAACCAATGGCAGCTATCTGCGGCGCCCCCTCAACCGATGGCTCTAACCATTGAGGGGGGGTTCAGTGTTTTGCCCAAGGACACTTCGACACGTGGACTGGAGGCACTAAGATTCAAACCTTCAACCTTCTGTTTGGAAGATGACTGCTCTACCCATCGTACCACTGTTGCCTCCACTGTCCTTGAAGTCTTGAAAAACCATTCATATAAATTCAGACTCACACAGACAAAACACTGATGTAAAAATAATGACCATATTGTAGGAAAGGTAAAAAATTATTAAGGTTATTAAATCCCAATGAATCCAAATGGCACTGGCTATAGGCCACAATGACAAGCAATGGTGCACTGATTCACACTGAGTTGTGTATTTTGTCTTTTGTTGTCCACTTTGCAATGACTGACTGAAAGAGCTCCTATACTTGTTTGCAAGTTGTGTTGTTTGAAGGCAAAATTTGCTTTTGTTGCCTATTTTAAATGTGTTGGCATGGTTAGAGCCTTTTGCAAACGAAATGTGTCATTTTGCCATCAGTGACACTGTTTAGGCAGGTGTGTTAACTGTTTTGAAAATGTGGAGTTTCAATTGA